TCTGGAAGGGGAGGTGACTATCCAGACAAGCAGTTGCAACTTGGTACAATGGGATCTGTCATCGGAGTGGAGGAAAGGGCTTGGCTGGGATAGTAACAGTCCTTCCTTTGCTTCTGGGGGAGGAGCAGTAAGTCGTGAGTAAAGCTCCATTGAGAAGGAAACATGGGAAATGAACGGGCTTTGCTGATGGTGTATGTTGGGAGTAAGAAATCCGTGTACTAAAGCACTAGCCCGGGACTTGAGAATTTGGAGTTAAAACTACTATCATTTTTGATGACTGATTCCTGGATTCTAGAATGCTCTGGTTTCATATCACTTGCCTGTTTCTGGCTCCCAGACAGGCATGACTCCCATCTGGGAAAATAGGTTCTCCCCCAACAGTAGCAGTTTCACTATTAATGTATGTACTTTGGTGGACTTCCCATGATCTTCAGACGTGATAGTCTTTACGGGCACAGGTTTTCTTCAAGTTGAGTTTGCTCGCCACGTGGCCTTTTCTGTGCACAAAGAATGCCAGGCCTCATTTTCCCAGATCATCGTGGCCATTCTGTGGTAGTTTGTGGAGAAGGCTGTGGCTGGTTGTGTTTTTAACATATTGTCTTTGGGTGTATTAGTAAGCACAGTTTACTAATCTTTTATACATAAGTAATACAGTTTACTTGTTGCAGCTTTTGTTTATTTTAATCCCACTAACCAGTTAGTTTGCAGGGAGGAAGAAAGGTCTGGCAGTCTGCTTCTGAAAGGGCCCAGCCTTGACAGCCATGTGGAGGGTCATTCTCCTCTGAACACAGGGGTCACCACGAGTCGGAACTGACTCGCCAGCCACTGCTCTGAGCTTGGTTTTTTCCTTGGTAAGGCAAGCATCCACTCACCATGTCAAGATAACAAAACTTCACATAGACTTCGATTAGGGTCTCTGTTTCCATTTTTGTCTTGTATTTAAAAGTAAATTTCAGGACACGTATACTGGAGAAATTTGGTGCAGCTTATCAAACTGGCCTCTGGATAATCTTTAAGAGTACATGGCAGGATTTGAGAGGATATAGAAGCCACTTTATGTAAGTGGTACATCATCTTGGCATGCGAACTTTATTAGATTTGTCAATAACATTTAAATTATTTCATTTTAACATTAAACTATTTTAAATAAATAATGGTAATGGTATTCTGAAGAATACAAAATTAGTTCAAAGTATATAGGTAGAATGGGTAAAAATGCACATTATATTTCCTGATGGGAAACTAGTTTGAGAAGTTGGGTTGGGTTGTTTTTTTTTTTTCACTTTTATATTGTTTTCCTATTTTTTTTCTCCTGAACATAATTTTTCCCTATTCCTGCTCACCTAATTTAGCTAATGTCTAAAATTTCAAAATCATCAGCGAATTTGTAGAAAATCACACTACTGTATTTTATCTCCTTTAACATGGAAAGATCCTTTTATCTTGTAATCATATTTTTGTCAACTAATATCAGCAAATCAATACAATCTTCCCTTTCAAGAAAAATATTTAAAATTTCTTCTTATATGAAACCCACAATTATTTGATTGTTACTATAAGTTCCTTATTTCCAAGTAAATGCTCATTCATGCTTATCATAAAATTTAACATTTTGTACACTAAAAAGGAATAAAGCATCCAAAATCAGCATAAGTATCAATAATAACATGAGCGCAAATTAAGTTTTTCTGTGTACATATTTTTACAGCTTTATAAGTATAGTTACATACCATAACACTCACCCGTCTTAGGAGCACAAGTTTGATATTGTAAGTGTACATAATCATGCAACCTTCATCACAAGTTTTTCAGCACTTTAGAAGTTTCGATGAATTAAGAATAGAAGCTTTTTATCTGTTTTACTTTGTTATTGTTCTTAGTTTTGTTTTTCAGTGTTTTTCTAAATATGTAATCCAAGATAGGTAAATGTGTAGAGACGGTAGCTGGATTAATAATTCCTTTGGGGTATGGCAAGGGAGATTGGGGTGAAATGGGGAACTAATGATGTGTACAAGATTGAAGAAAATGTTCTAAAATTGATTATGGTGATGATTTTACAACTCTTCATGATGTGATTGAACTATAGAATTGCATGACATGTGAATTATATGCCATTAAAACTGTTAAAAAGACTGGGGGGGGGGGGTGCGGGATTAGAAACTTTGACAAAAGACCTGACTGAATTCTGGCCACATGATAAAAGATAATGTGGCTTTTTTTGGAGAAAAAAAGAAATTATGTGAATGCTCAGAACCCTGGAGAGCAGGTCTACTCTGCCCTCTGGGGTAGCCCCAAAACCCATTGCCACTGAGTCAGTGACTGCTCTCAATGAACTGCCCCTCAGGTTTCTTCCCAAGGCTGTAACTGATGGAAGCTGCTGCCACAGCGTTCTCCCCTGGGTTCCAGCTGCCGGCCTTCTCACGTAGTAGCCAGGTGCTGAACTCCTGGGCCCTCGGACGCAGTGGCGCTAATGGGACCTCAGTAAATTTTCATTTTCCCCCAGTGCACATGTTGAGGCGTCCCTGCTTCCTGCTGAGCACAGAAGGTGCCACTCCCTGCCCTGTCGACTTCTGAATTGCTCTCGCTTGGTTTACATTTGCATGTGCACACCTCAGGATTTTGCTGTATCTTGAACCTTCTTGATCAGTATATTGAACTAATGACACCATAGAAACTTTTCCCCAACAAGATTGAAAGAAAAAGCATTTTTGGTTAACTCTCACTGATTATTTAGTAAAAAAAAAATATGTCAGTGCCCAGAATGTAATGAAAAATCAAACCCACTGCCATCAAGTCGTTTTCGACTCATAATGACCCTATGTATAGAATTTCTAAAGCAATACATCTTTATGAGTAGATAGCCTTTTCTTCTTTCTGAGAAGCAGCTGGTGGTGGGTTTGAATCAACCAATGCCTAGCCCATAGCCCCACCAGGGCATCTTCCCAAGTGTGTAGGGAAACACAATAAATCTTTACTAAGTAAATGAAAGAACAAGAAATATAATCCAATAGAGTATGTAATTTACTAATTACTAATTTAATAATTTACTAATTTACTGATAACACATAAAGAATTAGTATAGTGTTTAGCACATAGTATTTCTAAATATTGGCTGTTATTCTTTTCTAGGCTTTACTCCATATTAATAATCATGTTTTAATGAAGAATAGCATTACTCTTTAATTCTATATTAATATTCTTATTTGGGACAGTACACCCAAATAAATCATCGAGATGAATAAAATTCTCAATTTTATGGCTTAAGTATAAAACATAGGCTTGCTTTCAAGTACTAGCTTCCCTTAGAATATAAATTTTCTTTCTATTATTCCTTTTGTTGGTAATGTGTATTGTCCAGTTGACACTGACTCACGGTGCTTTGTAGAACTGGCCCGTAATATTTCCTAGGCTGTAATTTTCCCACAAAGCCCCTGGTGGGTCTAACAGCCAGCCTTTTGGTTAGCAGCCAAGTGTTTCCTCATTTCCCTGCCAGGACTCCTTAGAATTCCTGATAGATGACCTTTATTTGAACATAACCAGGAATAGGACGTCTCTACTTTAAATAGTAGCCCCTATGTTAGTTTAATGTGCTTTCTCTTGGCTAGCCACAGAAAAGTCTAGATAATAACTCTTTAAAGTTTGATGCATAAGCATCTTTAGAAATTAATAAAATCTTTGTGACTATGGTCCATTGGCTCAGGAAATCTCCAACAAATGTACCTCTCTTGCCTCTATATCCTCATTGCCATCGAGTCGATTCTGACTCATCGTGACCTTACAGGACAGAGTAGAGCTGCCTCTATGTGTTTCCAAGACAGTCCATCTTTATGGCCATAGAAAGCCCAACACATCACCCACTACAGTGGCAGGACTCCTGGTGATCTGATCGAGGGCGGGTGATGTGTCGGGCTGCTCATCACAAGGAGAAAGAGGATGTACAAGCTCAGAAACCCTAGAGAGCAGGTCTGCCCTGTCCTCCGGACTCCCTATGAGTCGGTGTTGACTCGATGGTGATGGTAGGGAGTTTAAGTTTTTGTTTTTGTTTCTGGTTTTCCCTCCTCTACCTTTGGAGCCCCGTCTCTTCTCTGACAAATTTTGACGATGCTGTTATCTATATGGATTCAGTTTTCAACTTTGGTTTTAATTTTAGTTGTATCTTGTGCCACGTTCTTTTAAATCACTTTAGATTCTATATCATAGAGCTTGATTAAGAGTCACTCCGAACCCACCCCTGCACTAAACAAACAAACAAACACACACACAAACACACACGCACACAAAACTCACTGCTATTGGGTCAGTGCTGACTCCTAGTGACCCCTATGGGCTTTTGAGACTAACTGTTTACAGGAGTACAAAGTCCTATGTTTGGTGGGTTCAGACTGCTGGATATGCAGATAGCAGCCCAATGCTTAACCACTACACCACCAGGGGTCCTCCCAAAACTGAGTTCTTAAAAGCCCAAACTGGTCTGATGATGGCAAACTACCTTAAACCCTAAAATGAAAGTGACAAAGTATGGAATAAAAATGTAAGCCTACAGTGTGTGATTGTTGACATTAGTCAGACCATTTTGACGTGCCCATGCATATCAGCCCCTGTGGCATAGTGGTTACACATTGGGATGCTAAACTCAAGGTGAGCAGTTTGAAATCACCAGCCACTCTGTGGGAGAAAGATGGGGCTTTCTGCTCCCATAAAGAGCTAGGGTCTCGGAAACTCACAGGGGGAGTGCTGAAGGGTTCTTGTGAGTCGGTATCAACTTAATGGCAGCGAGTGAGTGAGCCTGTATCATTGCCTATTGCCAAAACCCATGTTCTGCCATGTAAGTATGTGACCTACATGCATAAAACTTCTGTTTAATAACTTAGAGTAATAGTCAACTAGACAGCAATAGCAATGCTATTGCAGTTTTGACTCGGAAGCTTTGTTGGATTTTTTTGAAGGGGGGATTTTGTTGTTTCTTTGGAAATCTTTCTATTGTGAGTGAAGGTGGTAAAATGGTGAAGGTACAGTTTTACTTAGATCACTGTGAGCTCTGAAGATGACGTTTCCCTTGTTCCATTAAAGAAGTGTGACGCCCCTTCCTTATGGCTAGGCTGCTGTAACCCTTACCTGAAACCAGTGAAGGGCTGTGTACCTGTACTATCTTCACAGTGGGATCCGCTAGACAGATACTGGGCCAGTATTAATGAGGTAGTCAAGATCTGTTCCACAGGCTAATGCCCCAACTTCTCCTTAACATTTTACAGAGGGCATAAGAAAAAGGTGGTATGTTGTGTGAACATCAGCATTAAGTTCTGCACTCCTGTTAAAGCCACTTTGGGCCATAAGAAGGGCCTAAAAATGATTACCTTTGACATGGCACTCAGTTTTAATAATAGTTCTACTTTGGTGGGCATTTTGAAATCAGCTACACCTTGACAGGTTTAAAATAATTAAAATGCAGTAGCCAACTTATCTAATAAAATTGGTTCCCAGCCACCATTTTGTTAACTAAAAAAAAGTGTAACAATATTTATATTGTTGTTATTGCTATTAGATGCTGTTGAGTTGGTTCCGACCCATAATGACCCTGTGTGCAACAAAATGAAACAAAGCACGGTCCTGCACCAACCTCACAGTTGTTCTTGTGTTTGAGCCCATGGTTGCAGCCTTCCTCTTTTCCACTGTGCCACGGCTTTACCAAATGTGATGTCCTGACAATTTGTCCAAAGTATGTGAGACAAAGTTTCGGCATCCCTGCCTCTCAGGAGCGACCATGAGGTCCCACCCACCTTTAAATATTCACCCACTTAATTTTTGGAGTGCCTGTGGTTTCTCCTATGACATTTGAATTATGGTGCTGGTGAAGAATGTTGAAAGGACTGCCAAAAGAACAAGTAGGTCTATCTTGAAAGAAGTACAGCCAGAAGCAAGAGTGGCGAGACTGTCTCACATACACAGCACATGTTATCACGAGAGACCTATCCCTGGCAAGAGGAGCCCTCTGATGAGATGGACTGCCACAGTGGCTCCAACAAGAGGCTCAGTCATGAGGATTGTGAGACTGACTCAGGACTAGGTGGTCTTTCCTTCTGTTGTTCATGGGTTGCCGTGAATCAGAAATGGCTGGGCAGCCTAACAACAGGATAGCTGATCTTATTTGATTCAGGGTACCAGGGTTTGGTTCCTGGCGAGTGCACCTCCATTGAAACCACCACCTGTCTGACAATGGAGGCTTTTGTGCTGCTATGATGATAAACAGATGTCAGTGGAGCTCTTAGACTTAAGTGAGCCTGAGAAGGAAACCCTCGCTATCCACTTCTGAAACTCAGCAGTGAGAACTCTGTAGGTCACAGTTGTCTTATCTCCAGTCAGTCGTATGAGTGGAGCAGGACTGGACGTTGTTTTCTATTGGTAGGGCAGCTAACAGCAACAATGTGGCTGTTACATATGTTTAGAGGGGTTTTGAATTCTGTATGGCTGAGTATTAAAGTTTATAATTAGTTTAAATCTGTGTGCCTCTGATACCTACATTCTTTCACTTTTACCAGGCATGAAAGTAGAACCAGGATGGCTAAAGAAGCAGTAATTTTGTCTCGGTCCCTTTGCCAGGACTAGATGAAATCAGAAGAGAAAGGAGGAGGCAAGCATCAAGAGTTGAGTGTGAATAATGGATAGCCAGGAATGACAACAGACAGTGTAATACGTGCCAAAAGTGTGTGAACCCTAGCTTGTCACCTTGACCTAGTGATTAGGGAGTTTTATATTTCTCCCTCACTCCCATGGGAATTGGTATAGTAGTTAAGCTCTTGCCTGCTATCCAAGTCAGTGGTTCAAACTCACCTTCCCAGCTCCCACCCTCCCTCCATCACTGCGTGAGAAAAAGATATGGCAGTCTGCTTCCATAAAGGTGTAGAGCCTTGGATCCCATGTGGGGCTATGAGTCAGAAACGACTGAGCCAGGCACTGGGTTTGGCTTGACCCTAGGAACTGCTGATAAGACTTGCTAGAAATAGGTAAACTTATGTTTGGAAAATACACTGACTGTATAGTTATATAATTTCTGATGCCAGGTGTTTACTTCAGTCCTATTAAAGGATGTAGAGGTAGTTAAAATAAAAAGATTCTCTTAGGTCAGTTGTAAGTATAGAATAGGGCTAGGGAATTTAACGTATGTGATTTTAAACCTTTTTGCCTCTTAGAAATCCGATGAACCCTGTGCATGTTCACATCAGAAAAACGCACCTATATATGCAAATATGTACACTATTTCAGAGATCTGAAGACAATTTGTAAACCCTTCTCCTCAGCTGGTGAACAAAGAAGAGGCTGTCTACTCCTGGAAAGATTTACAGCCTTAGATAAGGCTGCAAGGAGTTGGCACAGCTCAGTGACAGTGAGTGGAATTGAATTGACTCGTAAGTTTTCGTTGTGGCCAGGTTCATGGTGTTAATTTCATTGGAGCATGGCTTCTTCATTTTGTCGTAGAGAAGATAATGCTAATGAACTCACTTCCTCAAACCACTGCCAGTAGCAACCCTCTAAGATGCAGAACTGTACCTGTGGTTTTCAAGACTGTCACTCTACCGGAGTAGAGAGCCTTGTCTTTCTCCCTCTGAACAGCTGGTGGTTTTGAACTGCTAAACCTGAGCTTTGCAGCCTGGTGTGTAACCACTACACCACCAGGGCTCTTGTGACAGACACTAGAGGTTTAATTTACAGAAGGGACATTTAGCTATACTAACATTCAATGTCTCAGATATAAAATTTATTGTGTGTGTCTAAAAGATAATATGAATTAATTGTAACATAAAAAAACAAAATATATAAGTGGATGTTATGTCATCTTCAGGGATAAGGAAATATCTATTATTGTTCTTTTGTAGTTACCATCTTATTTTGAATTGTGATATTTTGCAGTATTACTGGATAGAATTTTAAAAGTTCTGTCTAATTTGAAATTAGTTTAAAACGAATTGCATTTTTGGAACACTTTACGATATCTCCATGAACTATTACAGAAATTTTACCTAGTAGAGCTCTGGGGAGAACGATGAACATTTGCTTCCAGAAAACAGATTATGCACATGTGCATAATGATTTTAGGCCTCAGACATATTGGTATCATTGTTGCTCTAGTTGGAGTTCTTCAGTTTGTTTTTATTTCTGAAGATATATATAGTAGTAATAAAAGTCAGTCTTGGTGAGAATTTCACAGACATGCAAATAAAATGAAGTTGTAATGTAGTGGTCTTCAGTCTGTCCTTGAAGACTTTTCCTTTAGACATCTCAGGTGTTCTTTGGTTTTTGTTTAATTTATCAAAAGAGCTTACATGTATAATATGCAACATAATGTTGAAGTAACAACATATTATTAGATTAATCAATTCCAGAGAGGCTTCCATCTGCATTCATTTCTTGAGTTGAGCTCATGATACAGTGATGGTAAAGAGAGTATTGGCAGCAAGCCCACTAAGAGGCAGGAACTGCAGTGTGGGGAGTATGCCAACATATTACAGAGGGCATGTGGAATAACCGTGCCACGGGCAGTCTGAAGCTCTGGATACCTGTCACTCATTCTTGTCGTTGCTAATTAGGTGAACTTTCTAAGAACTTGCTTTGAGAAATATGCCCATAGGTAAATGTAGTAACATGAGACTGTTTGGGGGTTTATTTGTTCACTGAGTTGAAGCATGCTTTCACTTTCTGGATTATATAACAAACCAAGTGATCCTTTGTAGTGCTTTAGCACAATAATTATTTGTTGAATACTAAATAGTGTATGTCTTTTAAATGATGGTGACCGCCTAGATAAAGCAATGCTCTCCAACTCTGTTGTGGAGACCTACCTCTTTCCTCCCATGAGTTATCACAGAGCAAATTGTGATGTGTGTGTGTGTGTGTGTCAAAGGAGGAAAAGAAATATGCACGCCACCCTGTTTTTTCAAAGAGGATTTTGAAAGCAGGCATAATGACAAATTCACATCTACAAGATGGAGTCACCACTCACTATTGCAGATGTTAACAAAAGAGGGTTGAAAATCATAGACCTTTAAATTACATGAACAGATAAAAATGAATAAAAATCGTGTTTCTGGTAAAAAGTAAAAGCACATCTGATTTGATCAATTTCATACTAGCTGTTTCCACAACCACATAATGAAAATCTTAAACCAAGAATATTTCAGTGGAAAACCATACATTGCTTAAGACACCATTTTCAATCTTCTGATGTACTAAACAAGCTTTTCAGGTAATAAGGGGCATTTTTTTTTTACTATCTTTAAGAACTCTGATGGCATAGTGGTTATGAGTTGGGCTGCAAGCCAAAAGGTCAGCGTTTCAAACCTACCAGGAAAACACAGGGCTTTATACTCCCGTAAGCAGTTACAGCCTCAGAAACTCACAGGAGCAGTTCTAACTGCCTATAGGGTTGCGATGAGTCGACATCAACTCGATGTCAGTGAGTGTGTTTACTACCTGCGCATGTCTATACTTATGGAAACTTTGCAGGGATGCAAAGCAGCCAGACTAAATTAGAGTCCTCCTCTTAGGAATATCTCAAATTGGATCATGGTAACAGGAACAAAGAAAACCAAGACCACAGACTTGATTCCAGTTCATAGTGACCCTATGGGGCTGGGAATCTAGGGGTTTTTTAAAAATCATTTTATTGGGGGCTCATACAACTCTTCAGAATCCATCCGTACATCCATTGTGTCAGGCACATTTGTACATTTGTTGCCATATCATTTTCAAAACATTTTCTTTCTACTTGAGCCCTTGGTATCAGCTTCTCGTTTTTCCCCTCCCTCCCTCATGAACCCTTGATAATTTATAAATTGTTATTATTTTTTCATGTCTTACACTGACCGATGTCTCCCTTCACCGACTGTTCTCTTGTCCATCCCCCAGAGAGGGGGTTATATGTAGGTCATTGTGATTGGTTCTCTTTTCTACCCCCACCTTCCCCTTACCCTCTTGGTATGGCTACTCTCATTATTGGTCCTGAAAAGTTTATCTGTCCTGGATTCCCTTTGTTTCCAGCTCTTAGCTGTACCAGTGTACATCCTCTGGTCTAGCCAGATTTGTAAGGTAGAATTGGGGTCATGATAGTGGTAGGGAGGAAGCATTTAAGAATTACAGGAAAGTTGTATGTTTCATCGTTGCTACCCTGCACCCTGACTGGCTTGTCTCCTCCCCGCCACCCTTCTGTGAGGGAATGTCTAGTTGCCTACAGATGGGCTTTGGGTCTCCACTCTGTACTCCCCTTCATTCACAATGATATGATTTTTTTGTTCTGGGAGCGGACAACCCCACCTTTCTCCACAGAATAAACCTTTCATTTAGCTGCTGAGCACTTTAACCACCATCCCAAAGGGGCTCCTGTCAGTTTATGAATACTAAGTAAGTTCTTAAAAGGTCAGTTATGCTTAGTGATTGAAGAATATCAAGTTTAGTTGACCTTTTAGTAACTTAAGTTAAAAAAAATAACGCAACAAATATTTTGAGTCATTTGTCTGTTAGAACCAAAGAAAGGTCTTACATTTGGGAATTCACTTTCAGCTTGTCAGGTAGTTCCTGAGATTGACAAAAGGGTCATTTGCCACCATGGAAGGGAGTACAGTAGAGTCGGAATGAAATTTCACTGTTCTTGTCATCAGTGAAAGCTTTTCTACCAGGAATGAGGACTATAATGTACTTTGAGAGCCGCTCTAGTAAATCTGGGACCTGAGTGGGACCTGACACAATGGATGTATGGATGGATTCTGAAGAGTTGTACGAGCCCCCAATAAAATGATTTTTAAAAAACCCCTAGATTCCCAGCCCCATAGGGTCACTATGAACTGGAATCGAGTCTGTGGTCTTGGTTTTCTTTGTTCCTTTTACCATGATCCAATTTGAGATATTCCTAAGAGGAGGACTCTTAATTTAGTCTGGCTGCTTTGCATCTTATATCCCAGGGGTCAACTGAACCATTACTGGTACAAACACATGACTGCGTGGAATGAAGCCCAGCAAGACCTTAGCCATGGCATTTTAAGTCCTTTGGGCAAAAAGCTCTTGGAAACTAAGCTGATCTGGATGTGGCCAATGGGGGTAGATACTGACTTAAGCCATAGTCGCCCGCACAAGAAGACCTCCACATGGCTGAGGAGAAATGTATCTGAGGAGAAAGACAAGGAAGCCACAGGAAGAAGGGAGGGATGTAGCAGGGAGAGAAGCCTTGTCCTCAGATGTAACTCTGGGTCTCTTGTATGATTCTTATTTCTTCCAGTGGCTTATCTGACAGAGTATGGTCCGGTCTTCATTTTTATGGCTAGAGGTAGCCTAAGTAGATATGTAAAGGTAGGGGAGAAAGACAAAGCTTGACTCTTAGGTGCATTGAGTATATAATCAAGGGGGACTCCACTCCCCCTCAACAAAAATTGGAATTTTCCCCCCAAAGCTATGTATTTAAGGTTTTATACACAACAACCTTATCACCTTCAAAGTACTCTCTCACCATTACACTTAATACATTTGTCAAATCTGTGAGTCCATTCTTGGAAACATTTTTCAAACTCCTCTGTTTGGGTGGCTGACAGCACCTCCCTCATTTTTTTCTTGACCTCTTCTGGGTCCCCCAATTGCTGTCCTTTAATATCCCTCTTCATTTTCAGAAACAAAAAGATGTCACACGGAGCAAGGTCAGGTGCGTGGGGCAAGAAAGGCATGCTGTTTTTTGCCCCAAACTGTCGCACTGAAATGGCTGGATGAGCAGGTGCATTGCAATGGTGGCAAAACCAGTCTGCCACAAATCAGGCCTTTTTTTGTCACACACTGTTACACAATCTTTTCAGAACCTTTAAATAGAAAGCTTGATTAACAGTCTGACTTGGTGGAATGAACTCCAAGTCGACATTTTTGCCCATTCAGGAAGTTGATAGACATCCAGAATAAGGTTTTTCACAAATCACCATTTCACCATTTTTGAAATGAGCAAACCACTGGTATACTTGAGCTTTTCCCATAGTGCTGACAGCTGCATGCTGTTCTGTTAAATCGGCCATCACAAAAAATGAGGTTCAAGCGAACTGCTCACTGTGACCAGAGAGAACCTTCTCAGGTGATACCAATGGGGGTACCAACTCAGAGCGAGTTGCTGGATGCTTGCCCAGCAGGAAAAGGCATACTATGAAAGCACTGCCCAGAGCAAATCTGTGTGTGTGTGTGTGTACACAATCTTGACCGATTAAATAAAACCAAATAATAAAAAATCATAATTACTAACCTTGCTGATCGGTGTTTTGTTTTTCTTTTGCTGTGTCTTAGGGGTTTGACCCACCACATCAGAGTGACACCAGGACTATTTACATAGCCAACAGGTTTCCTCAAAATGGCCTTTACACACCTCAGAAATTTATAGATAACAGGATCATTTCCTCTAAGGTAAGGATGAACATTTTTGCCATGAAATCTAAAAATTATGCCATTTTATTTTGAATGTAATTTACTATTTGTATTCTAATATGCTCGTGTATCCTTAAAATTATAAGAAGCAGAGGTTGATGGATTTGTCTTAAAGGTGTGAATTGTTTAAACTAATTGCCAGATGTTGAGATCAGCTACCCAAATGCCAACAATTGTTCTCATTTTCACTTAAAATGAGGAATAATACACTAGGTGCCGGTCACTGTCTTAAGCACTTAATGCATTTAATAGCCCTGTAAAACATTATTAAATCAATCTTACACAGTATTGATATACTCATAATATCTGTTTCTCTGATTAAAATGCTGGGAAGTTAAAGAACTAGCCACGAGTAAGTGGCTTAGATTAAAGTTTGAACTCCATTCTTTATGATTGCAAAGCCCATATGAAATCTTATCATTCTTCTGTGTGTATTTTATGGTATTGCCTGCCTCTTACTTATTCTTCCTTGTTTCGTTTCTGCCATGGCTTTCCCCCCCCCTTTCAGATATCCTAGTATGTTTTAAAACTAAAGATTATAGAGTAGCCCTGCCCCAACAAACTTCTCTTATGATGGAAATGTTTTCACATAGTGTTCCAGAGCCCTTCAAATGTTGCTAGTGTGGCTGGGGGCCTGAGTTTTTAAATTTTTATTTTATCTGATTTAATTATTTAAACTTAAATGTCAATAGCCACAGATGGCCAGCAGCTACTTTACTGGACAGTGTAGTTACAGAGAATCCCGGAGTAAAAGACTGTGGATAGAGTGCTTAGATCATAGCTCGTTGTTTTTATGCCTCTCAAGCATCTTTTTTGCTCATTCTCTCTCTCCCAGAACAACTGAAATGTTTCTCTAACCCTGACCTTGTCTTTCTCTAAGACAGCGGTTCTCAACCTGTGGCCCACGACCCCTTTGAGGGTCGAATGACCCTTTCACAGGGGTTGCCTGATTCATAACAGTAGCAAAATCATAGCTATGAAGTAGCAACGAAAATAATTTTATGGTTGGGGGGGTGTCATCACAACATGAGGAACTGTATTAAAGGGTTACGGCATTAGGAAGGTTGAGAACCACTGCTCTAAGACGTTGTTTTAGGTGAGAAACTTCTTTGCTCTCTATCTTTTTTACCCTGTCTCACATTGTTTACACCTGCCCCATCCCCGTTAGTAGCGTCTCTCGTGGTCCCTGGTTCTAACGTAAAGGGTGAGAAGAGGAAATATTCAGAAGCTAGGTGATGGGAGAGTTCTAGATTGGTGACCCAGTTCTTGGCAAATTATGCAGGATGCAAAAATCACTCTAGGAATTATACAGGTTTGGGTTTTTTTTTTAACATTGGAGATAATTTACACATAATGAAATTCACCAACATTAAGGGTACGATTTTAATGTGTTTTGACAAGTGTCTAACATCATGTGCCCACCCCACAGTCAAGATACAGAACAGATCTGCTACTCCAGAGCGCTCTCGCAGAGCTTTGGGAACCTTCCCTCCAGCACTAGTAACTGCCAACCTGCTTTCTGAAGCCTGTAGTGTTCTTTCTAAAATTTCGTAGATGTGTCCCGTGTCAATCTATTGTGCCACCCTTCTTTGACTTGACATGATGCTTTCAAGATCCTCTCTGTTGTTGCAAGCAACAAATCAGTAGTGCAGTCCTTTTCATGGATGGCTATTGTATAGTTTTACCTCAATTTCTTTACCCATTTACCAAGGTAGGCAATTAGTGTTGCTTCTAGTATTGGGGTGTTATGAATAAGGCTTCTGTAAACATTCACAGTTGTTTGTGTGGGCATACATCTTATATCCTCTTATGTAAAAACCAAGGAGTGGGACTACTGAGTTAATATAGTGAGTGTTTTATTAAGAAAACGTCAGACTGCTTTCCCAAGCAGCTGTGCCATTTTGCATTCCCATCTTCAATGCATGAGTTCTGATTCCTCGCCATCCTTGATAACACTCGGTTCAGTACATCGTTTTTCAGCTACTACACAGCCTGTAGTAGTTGTGTTTACTGTGGTTCTACTTGTCATTGTCCTGATGATGAAGGGACTCTGTCTCTCGGCAGCAGTCATCCCCTGGATCTAGGGCCTTCCCAGTTCAGGGACCCCAGGTTCAAAGGACACCCGGTCCAGGCTCTTCTTTCTGGGTGGTAGGCAGTCCCCTCACATTGAGGTATTTTTTTATTTGTGATGTGTGATTAGAGTCTCTGTTCATGTTTTTGTATTTGGTTGTCCAAATTAGCTATCCTTTTCCCACCTCTGGATATTGGCATATATGTTGGACATAAATTGAATGAATTTGTGGACCTGGTTTTGGACTTTGTATTCTTCAATTCCATTGATTTATGTGTATCCTTGTGCCAACGTTCTTGATCATTATAGCTTTAATAGTAAGTCATGAAATCAGTCTAAAGCCTCCAACTTCTTCAAAATTGTATTGGTGTATCTAGGCTCATTGCATATATTGTATATATTAGAATCTGCTTAACTTTTTACATAAAAAGCCTGAAGGTAGTTCATATATTATCCATTTCAATTTGGAAAGAATTGCCATTTTAACAATAATGAGTCTTTGTGTAATCATAACATGATGTATCTTTCCATTTATTTAAGTTCACTTATAATATAATTGCTTTTCTTATGCTGGCCTTGGACCCTGGGTTCTAGCTAAACTCCCTTTTTACTTCCTTCGAGCTCTTTTGGATTCTTTAGGACGTTTGTATACACAGTCGTGCTATCTACCCACAGAAACCATTTTACTTCTTTTTCAACCTCTAAACTTACTACTTTTTCTCGACTTGCTGCATTGGCTCTAATCTTAAATAAAATGTTGACCATGAGTGTTATAAAGGGACATCCTTGCCTGTATCCAGTCTTAGGAAGACAGCATTTTCCACAGTGTATGGTAACCCTAGGTTTTCTGTACATGTTTTGTTGTTTTTTTTTTAATCAGGTTAAGAGAGTTCCCTTTTTCTAATTTGTTGACATTTTTTTTCAAGAATGATTTTGCAATATTGTAAAATGCTTTTTTCTGTGTATTTGTTGAAATGATGTTCTTACTTTTTAAACTGTTGATGATGGTTAATTATATCCATTGATTTTGTTGTTGGTGCTTACAATGTTAAATTAACTTTTTATCTTTGAAATAAGTCTCCCTTGGTCATGATGTATTATCACATTTACAGTGTTGGATTTGTTTTGCTAATGACTTTGTAAGGGATTTTTGTGCCTGTGTTCATGAGCAAGAATGTTCTCTGGTTTTATTTTCTTATAGTACCCTTGTTTTTATATCAAAGCAAAGCTAAGCCTCATAAAATGATTTTGGAAGTGTTCCTACTTTTATTTTCGGGAGGAGTTTGGCACTATTTCTTCTTAGATGTTTGGTGGAATTTTCTAGTAAAGCTAGCTAAGGCCACAGGTTCTGTTAGATTTTTCGGGTGGGAAATACCTCAGTTCTTGGCTTCACACAAGTAAGAATTCACACCGAAGCCTGGTTTGTGATCCAAGTGGGTTTTTATAAAGGACAGGAAAAGTTTGAGGCTATACAGTCACTGAACACAGGCACCCTCGGGGCAGTGCACACCCACAGGTGGCAGTCTCAGGCCAGAGCGAGACCGCAGCACAGGGAGCACGGACGAGAAGGGTCAGTCGTCTCCGGATTCGGGCTTTGAGGGCTTCATCTGGGAGGCAAGGGCGAAGATACTGGTTGACCCTATTGGCTGAATTAAGCTCACCTGGCCTAGTTTGGGCCAACCCAGGTGTCCCGCCCACCTGGCTCGTCCTTGAATTGGCACATGCCCCTTAGCCTTCATTGGCTTCCAACCTCCTATAGGCGGCCTTTAGGCACAGAGAGGAACAACCCCCTATCCTGCTATCTATCAGTTCCTTATGGAAAAGTTTTTAAGCACAAATTCTTTTTTTTCTCTTATAGAACATTATTTAAAGTTATCTTCTTTCTTGCATGATCTTTGGCATTGTGTGCCTGTCAGGGAATTTTTCCTTTTCATCTAAGTTGTTGAATTTATTTGAGTTTGAATTTAAGTTTCTTATGCTTATCCACTCTAGGAGATTTGGTGATCCTCCTCTTTCATTCCTTAAATTGATTGTTTCTGTGTTCTCTGCCTCCCTCCTGTTCCGTCAGGCTAGCAGTGGTATCAGTGGTATCCATCCCTGCAACAGAGGAGCTCCTGGTTTCTTTGGTTCTCTATTGTTGTATTCCTTTTTACTTATACTTGCCTTGAGTTTAGCTTGCTCTTCTTTCTCTAGGTTTTTAAAGTGGAAGCTTAAGTCATTGACTGGACACATTTCTTTCTTTCTACCATGACTATTTAATACTGTAAATTTTCTAGTGCTCAGTAAGTAAACAGCATTCCAAAATGTTGCTGTGAAATGTGTGTTAGACAGGGTTCTCTAGAGAAACAAAAACCAAGACACTTGTGATTTTATATAGATAGGTAGAACACAATGAAATAAACAGTTAATTAGTCCACAGAGCAGGACAGAGGGCTCATTTCAACTCATGAGGGCTGTTGGGTGCAAGTCAAGGAATCAGACAACTGAGTCTTCCACAGGGCGATTCAGGAAATCCGGCCACAAGCAGCAAATAGCAGGGCAGGTCACCAACAGTCAACCAGATGACAGGGTCTGACAAGTGATGTATATACCAGCAGTGCGGCAAAGCAGGTCTCGAAGGAACCTCAAACTATAGTGACACGGGTTGGGTGTCCCACAGGTAGTGTAGCTCACAACTTGAGGCAGAGAACTAGCTGAGATAGCCATACACTGGTCTGATCATCAGAGGGCAAGAGACTGTTGGAATGGTTACTAAGGGTGTGGGATACTAGTGCAAGGAATGTAATATTAGACCAGTCTGAGTTCTGGATATGGGGCCCCTAAGCACAGATTCTTCTTTCACTGTCTCCACAAGAGAGGTTAGGAGAGGATCTAATTGCTTATTTGGTTGGTTCACTGAAGCATGGGCTGCCAGATGGCCTAGATTAGACCAACTTGAGGTACCTGATCTACCTTGGTACACCGTAGAAGAAGGCATCCAAAAGCTTAGGGAAATTGGTATGTTGGCATGGATCTATCATGATGCTCCCATAGACCCAAAAAGGGAGTGTCCTGAGGACATACCTTTCACTACAACCATAAGGAACGAGTTTGTGAAGTGGGCCCCAGCATCTCGAAAGACTCCTATGATTGCTATTTTATGTACACCAGAATTAACAGTGGGAGATGCCCTACGTGAACTCCCGACATTTGCCTAAAATGGGGCTGATTGGGCCTCATGGTGGTAGAGGGCAGGTGTCAGCACTGAATCAACAGAGACAGAGTGGACGTGGTTATCATAATAGACAGCAAAGATTCTGTAGTAATCAAAGCAACCTGTCATGTGGACTTAAGGCATTGACTACTTAGCCAGTGTCCCTAGGAGTGAAATGCATGGGAAACCTGCTAAATATTTACATGATCTATACAGGCGGAAGAATACTAGATCAGGTGAACAGCAGAATAGACAGTCACGACCACTCAGTCAATTCCCAGACCTGAGCCAATTTACAGACCCACAACCTCTTGAATGAGGGGAAGGCCGGGTCCCTTTGAGGGAGGACCCTGCTACATCACCGAAGGTCTATATAAAGGGACCTGCGGCCTTTCACAAGAGTGAGTGTTCATTGGGGGAAAAGGAAATAACCAAACTTTTCGGGGATTACTGGATACTGGCTCTGAACTGACACTAATTCCAGGAGACCCAAAGTGTTTCGAAGGCCTGCCAGTATGTGGTTTGTTATCACTCACTTAAAAATATTTTATCTTAGTGTTATTAAGAATATATACAGCAAAATTTATATCAGTTCAACTATTTCCGTATGTGACTTTGACAATATTTTTTCAGTTGTGCAACCATTCTCACCTTCCTTTTCCGAGTTGTTCGTGTCTCATTAGCATAAACGCACTGCCTCTAAGGTTTCTTTTTTTTTTTTTTAATGATTTTATTAGGCGCTCATGCAACTCTTATCACATTCCATACATACATCTATTGTGTAAAGCGCATTTGTGCATTCATTGCCCTCATCATTCTCAAAACATTTCCTCACCACTTAAGCCCCCTGCATTAGGTCCTCATTTTTCCCCTCCTTCCCCACTCCCCCCTCCCTCATGAGCCCTTGATAATTTATAAATTATTATTTTGTCATATCTTTCCCTGTCTGACGTCTCCCTTCACCCACTTTTCGGTTGTCCATCCCCCAGGGAGGAGGTCACATGTAGATCCTTGTAATCAGTCCCCCTTTCTACCTCACCTTCCCTCCACCCTCCCGGTATAGCCTCACCACTGGTCCTGAAGAGGTGTCATCTGTCCTGGATTCTGTATTTTCAGTTCCTATCTGTACCAGCGTACATCCTCAGGTCTAGCCAGACTTGTTATTGTCGTCACTTGGATCATATATTAATAGAAGGAAAAGCATAGTGCTCAAAGCAGACAGAAAAAAAGATTTCCCCTAAAACTGTTTTCTAATTTCCTTTGTGATTTCCTCTTTAAAAACCTATATGCTATTGTGCTATTCAAAACAAAACAAAACATACAAACAAACCAATTGTCTTTGGGTCAACCCTGACTCACAATGACCCTATAGGACGGTAGGACTGCCCCTGTGAGTTTCTGAGACTGCATCTTTACAAAAGTAGGAAGCTTCACCTTTCTTCTGAAGACTGCCCAGTGGTTTCAAACTGTTGACCTTTTGATTTCTAACAATTCTATTTGGTCAGAGCATGGACTCTCTGTTTTAAAGCATATTGCCTTATTTCATGAGAATTCCACATACGTTAAACATTATGTATAATTTGCATTTTGTAGTGTAGTTTTCTATAAATGCCAGTGATGTGAAAGTGGTTTATGGTATCATTCAGAGCTTCCAAATTCTTCCTGATCTTTTTCTTTTGTTCCATAGGTTGCTGAGTGGGGATTGTTAAAATCTCCAATCCTAATTGAGATTTGTTTCTCCTTTTAGTTCTGTCAATGATTTCCTTCATGAAATTTGAGCACAGTTATTAGACATGTATTCATATATGTATATTAAAATTCCTGATGTTTTTTACTTTATATTATTTTAGATTATTTCTCTCTTAACTCTCCTTAGTTTATAACTTTTTAATTTTAAATTAAAATAGCTGTGCCTTCTTTCCTGTGGTTACTGCTTGCATGATACAGTCTTTTCCAATCTTTTCTTTTCAGCCTAATTGTGTTTTGTGTTTTGTAGACCATGCATCATTGGTTCTTGATCTTATATTTATCGACTAACATTTCTGCCATCGTTTGAATTTTAAGGGCGGTTGTAGTTGTAATTATTGATAAAATCAAGACTTCTGTTCTGGTCTTTGTCTCTTTTGTTAGTGTTTCATTTTACCTCCCTTCTTGTTTTTGTCTCTCAAATCTTTTTAGCATCTCTTTTTAATTTTTGTATTAGCTTTTAACTCTATGTTGTTGTATTATATTTTAATGGTTGCTCTAGGGATTACAATTTGCATTCTGAACTTCGATCAATCTCCTTAGAGTTAATATTAAATATGTCTAATAAAATACAGAAAATTCCAAGATATATTTCTATTTAGTTTGCCACATGCAGTTCCATTACTATCACCTATCTTCATTATATTTCCATCAACATGGTCCTACAATATTTGCTTAGTCATATTTCTTTTAAAGCTATTAAGAGAAAATAAAAGTACATATAATATTCTGTATTTATTCACATGCAAGAAGACTTTGAAAGTTTGTGGGAGATTTCCATTATCTTGGTATTACATTTTTTTCATGAACTTTTGTTTGAAACCTCCTTGTATTTACCTTTTCTGGTAACTTATTCCTTGTAATCCATATTATCACACTTTTAATTTGAGTGATGTACATTTTTCCAGTAAAATGTGAGATTTTTTTGACCAGGAATGCGGTTTTATTTATAAAAGACTATCTCTAGCAGAAGCTATTACAGGCATTTTAATAATAGAAATTTTAAAAATTAACAACTTGCTTGCTAAACAATCTCAACAGAGAAATATAAAGCTATTTTTAAAATGGCAATTCTAGACTCAAAGAATATAAATATTGAAGTGAAAAAACATAATTGCCAATAAATAGTAAAAGAAATGAAAAAGGGGGAGTAGAACAGAAGTCCTGAGACTCTAAAAACCAGATAAACACCTTTTCCTAATATCAAGAATCACATACATGAAATCTGTCCAATGATTTAGTAAGTCTGGCTTTACTTTTGCTATTATATCTGTTTATTATGTGTTTTATTTAAATATTAATTTGTTGATCTCCTCCCCCTCCCTTTTTTTTTCTAGTATACTGTGTGGAATTTTGTTCCAAAAAATTTATTTGAACAATTCAGAAGAGTGGCAAACTTTTATTTTCTTATTATATTTTTGGTTCAGGTAAGTTTTTCATTCAGTAGATTGCTAACAGTGTATAAACTGGGTCTCAAAAGTGCCTTAGATGAAGGGGAAGTATTTCTTAAACAGAGGGCGCCGTTGCATCCTGCGGCAGGCGTGCCCGGGTCTCCGCATTCAGAATTCCTTCGAGCGTTTCATTTGGGAATGTGCAGCATGCCTCTCCTAGGGGAGATACAGGCTGCATTGTGTCCTAAGACATTTGATTTAGGACTCTTTTCTTTTCTTTTTCTGTAGTGCTTCACTTATTATGTAGATTTCTAAGAAAATAGCCTATACATTTTAAGGTTATCTGGATTTCGTTTCATCACTGATATGCCATAGAACAAAAAACGCTAGTCTAAGCCAAGAACACGATGTACTGTCTTTCAGATATTCTGCCGCTGAATAGAAATATGTTGGCGTTTAGTGTAAAACATATACTGGTTTGGGCACATTTCTACTTTATGGACTCACCTTTTTACAAAGTAGATTTATCTTTATCTTTGAATTACGTTCATGAAGACCCATTAGTATAGATTCTTTATTAAGGGAATTATTTTCTTATTAGAAGTTGTTTTAACAACATGGTAAATTTCCAATTGTGGGAATTTTTGTTTGTTTCTGGGGGTGGGGATGTGCGTGGAAGTGTGGCTGGATGGAACCAGGAATATTTGTAGCATTGACTGCAGAATAAACTAAGTGACTTATGTAGAATTTTTGGAATTGATCTTATAGCTAGCTTTTATATCAAAATACCAAGAAAACAGCCTATGAAAGGTAATCATGAACCGAGATGTAAAAATAGGAATTTATCGTTTTCTTTTAAAGATATTGCCCTCTGATTATACCACAGTAATGCTTGGACAGCTTCTTCACCCTATGACTGAGTTATTGTACACTCCCTGAACTTTTCTCTCAAAGGACTTGAGATTTTAAAAGAAATAAACCCCTGTCAAGTAATTATGCAAAATGTCTAGGAATCATTTGCTGTTTGTTTGGGGGTTTGTTTTTTAATTACCTTTCTTCATGAACGGAGAAGGCACTTCTGGTTTTCTACCACTAGAAAAGCAGGCTGGTTTTCTCAGAAAAGTGAGGAATTTATGCCAACCTTATCCACATGATGAGCATGCATTTGTGAAATCACTCGTGTGCTCAGGAATCCAGCCTGTTGGTGGAACACAGCAAATTTAATTGGGTTACACAGAATAAAGGAGCATCAGGAAATCGTGAGAAGAATATTCTGACTGGCCACACTGAATTACTGCAGATATTTCTTTGCATCATCCTAATTTGCTGAAATCTCAAGTATGTGATTTAGTTGATAATTACAAATCATTGTCTGAGCTATACCCATCTGCCTCTGCTGGGTGTAACAAAATCACTTGTAGAAAATAACACTTTTTGTAATCTCATTCCTAGATTTTCTCCTTAGTGCTAAATTAATCTTGACTTGCAGGGTAAAAATGCTTGCAGACTACTTTTTCAGCATTTATCTAGATCTTTAAAGAACCGGGATATGAAATCTGAGCTGCAGTAGCTTAACTCAGGCAACTATAGAGGACAACCTCAGGTTTCTTCCCCGACCTGTGAAGGAAGCAGTGACTGAGTCCCTCTAGCTATATACTTAGGAAGCCGGCAGTAGGTTTAAATACTCTACGAGCCCCATATAATAGCCAAGAAAGTGAACTACCTGTGGCACAATATCTCCTGGTATGTTTAACTGTGGGTATACTATGCATTTTTGTGTATTGTTCTTGACATTGCCAGTATCTCCCTAAATTTTAGCTATTAGTAGTGTGACATTTAATATAAAAAGGTGATTCACTGTGTTATTTCTTTTGTTCAGCTTATGATTGATACACCCACCAGTCCAATTACCAGTGGGCTTCCATTATTCTTTGTGATCACAGTGACCGCCATAAAGCAGGTATGAAAGCCGTCCTATTGCTGGTTTCCCCCGGTCCACTAAGAAGTTGTTAAATATTTGCTCTTTAAAGGAGCATTTATTGTGGTAAAAAATGTAATAGTTATTATAATGTACTGTGGTATAAATGTAATTTATTATAATAAGTGTAATTTCTTATAATTTTCATAAGAAAGCAGCAAACCTATTGAAATTGCATGTTTTAAAACTAAACTGAGTGAACAACTTTGTTGTTTCAGATGCCTGTAACTTCGTTTTCCCAAAGTGGGTGATGACTACCCCTGAAGGGGGGTGGGGGTGCTGGCATGAACAGACACCTACACTTTATCTTGGATTATGGGCTATAGTATGAAAGTTTTTAAGTGCCAGGGGACACTGAGTAACTTTTTTTTTTTTTCTGTGAAGGGAGCATTAGGCTAAATAAGTTTGAGAACCTCTGCTGTAACCCAGGAATAATTAGCTGTGTGATGTTATTCCCATGACACATTTAGAAAGCATTCAGAAGCAAGCATTGTATACATGCAAAGCAATTTAATATGAAATAGATTATTTGTGATAATCATCTCATCGGAACTTGTCAGTATTTAAAGGAAGTGCATATAAAATGATAGGCTGTAGGAAATAAAAAAAGAAAACTCACTGCCCTTGAGTCGATTCTGACTCATAGCGACCTTGTAGGACAGGGTAGACCTGCCCCTTGCCATTTCCAAGATTGTAGCAGTTACGGGCGGAGACAGCCTGTCTTTCTCCTGAGCAGCAGCTGATAGCAACCTTGTAGGATAGGGTAGACCTGCCCCTTGCCATTTCCAAGATTGTAGCAGTTACGGGCGGAGACAGCCTGTCTTTCTCCTGAGCAGCAGCTGATGGCTTCACTGCCAGCTCATAACCACTGTGCCGGGCTCCTGTACATCAGAATCAACTTCACCAGGGAAGAAATGTTGTACAAAGTGGGAAAACACTGTACAATTTTTACTTAAAAATGTTCGTGCTAGAATATTTTATTATAGAATTTTGCATGGTCCACTTCCTAAAGCCTATCACTTTTCTTGCTTTTCACAATTGTTTGGTGGCATTGATTTTAATAGTAAGTAGTACAAACAAATTGGAATTGGGATTAAAATTTACATCTAAACAGAATTATTAGGGATCAAGTAAGAAATAAAGACATTTCTAGAAATGTCATGTCTAGATACCTACCAGTTCTCAAAAAATCTTTTAAGTCATACAGAATGATCTCTTTTTCCTGAGAAAGAATTTATTGAGTTTTATTGTTTCAGTGTGATCAACTTCCCTATTTAAGGTTAGGGACAAGGTTTAAATTTGACATGGAAAAAATTGATACTCATTTTATAAATCTGAAATGAATATGTTCTTCATTATGTACATAAGAAAGATAAGAAGAGCCTACAGATAATGATTCTGTGTCGAACAATCTCATGCTCCAACACTAAATCTGATTTCCCATCCTTCTCTCTTCTATTGGAGGCTACAATTTGTGTGTACAGGTCAATAAACATCCAGATCTCTCCACACAATTATATACTTACATTTACGTGGTTTTCATTCCTCGCCTCTTTTCTATCTCCCATTCCCTCTTAGTTGATATCATTCAACCCCATCACTTATAACAGATGATTCTGAAATTTTTATTCTTCTAAAACCTAGCCCTTGAACTCCACACAGATGTAAACAACTACTTGTGAAACATATCCAATTGGATGTCGATATATACCTCAAACCAAACTCAAATTTTTTTGTCTAAAATTGCACCCCAATTCCCATTTTTTTAAAATGGCACTGCTGCACTTCACTTTCTACCATTCTTCCCTTTGCTTACTGTGCCCCACGGGGCACCTTGCTCTCCCTGTCCTCAAGAAAGTTAAGTCCACGCCTCTCTCAAAGCTTTATGACTTGTTGTCTGCTCTTCCTGGGAAGTTCTTCCGCCAGGTAATCGCACTGCCCAGTCCCTCGTTTTATTCAAGGCACTACAATGGGAACGTTTCCCACCCCTTCTCCTGTCCACGCCACCCTGCTTTCATGACTCTCTGCTCGTTTCTCATCATCTGTCACTGCGTGCTAGTCAATTGAATAAAAGTTTCATCTGCTTCTTTCAGGTGAGTGTTAAGCTCTGTGAGGCCAACAGCGTTGTTTTATTTACCACTTTATTTCCAGAACAGACCTAGTGCATAGGGGGACTTGCAACAAATATCTGTTTCATAGGTGAATAAATGGGTGAATGAACCCATTAAATTTTTTTAGGAACAGTATAAAATGCTGTAAAACTTCTTACCTCTAGACTTTTTTGGCCAAACATCAGGTGGATTTAAGTGCTCTTTGATTTCATTAAGCAAGTGAGAAAAAAAGTCGGTGAATTTATATTTGCTGATTAGAGTTAAATATAACAATAATTAACAACTCATTTTCCTTCAAAATGGGCTAATTACACATAAAATCTAAAGGGAGGAAGTAGAATGATTATACCTCAAACTTGTGTTAATGTGGGTATTGCAATTGAGTACTGAATTTAATTGTGAGATTCATGGCAGCAAAGCAAGCAGGGAAATATGAAAGGCATGTGCTTTTCAGCAAGGAAAATTATAAGGAGTTTCTCACTTTCTCTGAAATATAATTTCAGGGGTCTTCTCTTTTGAATCACGTATTCTTAAGTTTTACACGTTTGCTAAACATACAAAGTGCATTCAAACATACATGGCTGCTGTTTTATCCATTACTGTAAATACACAGAACAAACTGGAAATTGTACTGATAAAAATTGGCATGTCCTGCCTGCCCCTCTCCCCAGAAGAATTTATTTCAAAGGACAGCACTGAATCCGCAGCTCCAGGAGAGGGACATATCTGATCAGAGCACACAGGAGCAGATAAAGGGGGAGGAGGAGAGA